TAGATCAAACTCCTGATTCCGCCACTACATGTAAGCTCTTTTTGATATAGAAAAAGGCTAATTATTTTATTTAAAAATAATGTAATCATCTACGCACTGTCGAGGTTTTGTACTAACATAGAGGTTTTACATGGCAACAATCACCATGATTTGGGATAAATTTTCCATTTGTTTCTGTGAACCAGTAACAAATGTGGTAGAGATTGGCCTACGGATTCTAAGTGCATTGATGGTTGTTTCTTAATTTCACTTTACAACTATACAGATTTGGAAGCTCATAAAAGGGTTTTTTCAGAAAAAAACAGTGATTTAGTAACCAGAAACAGTTTACACATCGTCTAATTCAATACATTTCGATAAACTAGCCCCACCAACACCCTTGTCGATCTGATGATTCGTAGCAATGAGTATTCTGTGGATGAATCAGGTATGGATTCTACAATCTTAATTTCGTTCGTACCACAGTTACTTTCACTAAGGAGATTAAGGAGATTCGTTAGAAAAGCGTCGCTGTTTTTTGTGTACAGAAGAAGATTTATAATTGTCTGGTTGTTATGTTTTATTTTAGCTTTTTCATCGCGACTTTTACCACTTTTTCAAAAATTTATTTAAGCCAGTTATTCTGTTTGCCTTTTGTTTAGCAAGATTTCTTTTTAGGTAATTTGCTGCACGAACAGAGTTACACTTGGCGTTCCAACTGTTAGTGTTATAAGTTAATTTTATAAAGTACGGTAAAGAAGAGAGAATCACTTATTCATAAATTGTTTACTTTACTGTTGCTAGGTTTTTTCTATCTGTCTCTCCATCTTCCTCTTAATCTCGGTTTGCAGATTTTATTCCGAGTGACACACAAAATCTGTTATACGTGGACAATTTGTACATTTTCTTTTTTCTTTCTACTTGAGTAGACACGATAGGCTAAAACTGTACATGGTTTTCCTTCTTTCCAGATATATCATGTCTATTTAAGAAAAAAAAGAGAAAATGTATAAATTGTCTACCTATAATAAATTTTGTGTCACCCAGAATAAAATCTACAAATAGAGATTAAGAGCGCGATGGAGAGACAGAGAAACATTCTAATAACGAACTTTTATTTAAATAAATTTGAAAATAGCCTCAACCCATCAATTCCAGATTTCTTAAATGTTTGAATTACTAATGCCTTTCAAATATCCTGAGTACGAAAATATTAATAGGAAAAATAATGGGATTGTAGCGAAATTAGAGAAGTACGTCGACCTTGAAAACAATGTTTTATATTCAGCAAGTTATACTACCACATTATCGTCTGATGGTATATATATTAATAAAATCGGTCAATATCTTTTGAAAAATCAAAAGTATTTAGAAAATAAACATATCATTAATTGGTGTTCAAAATGTGTACCGCTTTATTCGATTCAAACGAACGGTAATTTCCATCTGTTACACACAAAATCAGAGTTGTGTATGAGATACTTTACTTTGTGGTCACATGCAGTGAAGAGCTGAGACAGATACTGTTTGCTGTCAGATTGGTTTTCGTTCGCACTAAGTTCTCTTCCTACATGAAATGAGTTTTTTTTTGCGACAGACAATCTAAAGTAAGAGAGTAATCCTTTGTGCCAAGCCTTTAGAAGAGACATATATAAGTGGCTATAGTGGATTAATTAGCCTTGCGGCATATCAAAAATAAAAGCAACCTTCTGTAACTAGCTATAGCAATGAAAGTTATTCTTTTAAATCAGTATAGAGATTATCAATCATCTAATTTTAGTTTTGAATAACTTTTTGTTCTATAGGAAAAGGAAATTGTTTGGTTGATGCCTGCCTTCTCACAATGATTGGTATTCAAGATAGTCCATTAACTCTTCGTAAACATTTATCTGATTACATTAAATCAAATGAAATAGCATTACGTGATCGGTGGAAATATGCAAGAATATCGTCTGACCAAAAACTAGAATTGGGCATTGATTTAGATGATAATCTACTTGATCAAGTAAACTAAAAATAATTATCTGTATAAAAATCCGTCAAAATATTATTTTTGGTAAGCAATCCTTGGATGTTTGTTGATTTTATATCGTTATTAACTACTGAAAAAAGTGTGATGCAAAATCTGAGAATTTGTATTTCCTCCAGGACAGTATATGTTCAGCATTAGTATACATGAAATTGCTTTCTGCTCGTTAATCAGAACGACGTCAGATTTTTCTAAATCGGATAATTTAGCATACTTTTGGCTAAAAAGATTTCTAGCAAGGGCTAAATTATCAGGGAAATCTCTGAAAAAAGAAGAGAGCGAAGTCACAATTTTTTTTGCACAAAAAATTTATTAATAAATAAAACTAAACTAAATGCTAGTATGGCGAGCGTCAATTTGAAAACGTTTGAAGGCGGACTTTTAATTATTTTAGGAATGGAAAGCTATTGTTACAGAAGCGAAAGTAACAAATGATGGTAAATGTACATTTTTACAATCATGCCATATTTTTGCCATTTCAAATATGATTAAACGACCGATTGTGGTGCTCGGAGAGGAGTATGTTGACACAGGTAAATAAAGATATGCCGCATTAAAGAACTAATATATTTAAGCCCTTATCTCATACGATCCTTCTTCATTTATTAAAACGAATTCAAGAATGATCCTCTCTTCTTTGGGGAAAAACTTTTGATTTTGAGAATAACCATGTTTTATAGAGCTATGCGAATCTGCATTTATCGCAAGGGTGCTAGAATTTTACCTGTTCTCATCTGTGCTGAGTTGATTTCTTTGATATCATTACAGTAAATGAGAAGCAAGCTCAGTTTAATGATATAATTGGCATTTATCTACCATTGTTGTTTATGGCGAATAATACATTACATTATCCAATTGTTCTTGGTTATGCTGCTACTCATTTCACAGCGTTAGGTAAATTTAAATAAAATATTATGCAAAGTGTGACTGTAGATCAAAATCTTTAGTATGAAAGAGAAGAAATTACAGATGTCTTAGTAAACCCTTTGTTTACAATAAATTATATATATATAAAAATTTTATTTTTTTTGTAGTTACGTCAAAGTCCTCAACCTTGTCGCCGTTGTTATATTGTGGAGTACCACTGTCATGTGTATCCAGTTCATCCTTCTCCTTTCAATCTTTATCTGTTCATTATATTAATTACGTTGAACAGATGAGCGTTCCACGCTTATTAGCAAAATATTTAGTTATTGAAGAGATTAAACTGCCCGAAGGCCAAATGATGAAATGTTGTGCATTGAATGAACAAACGCTATCAGAGGATATTAATGTTTTAAATAAGTATATAAAATATCTTGAAGCCAATTTACCAAATGAAGAACCGTTGCCACCGGATAATTTGTCTGAAGCCCATGGTATGGTAATAACATATTTTCGTTCATTTGTGCATTAGTTACAGTTAATATATTTATATATCAGACATTCAGAAAGACTGTAACAATTCAAAAATTTATATACGATTTCTATACGACTTATATACGAATAAAAAACTCAGAAAGCCAAAAATAATTCGATTTGAAAATGTTTTTATTCAGTAGATTTGGATCCAACAACCTTGGCTCGTATCGATGCGCAGGCAGTTTCCACCAATTTTTCGAACTCAAGTAGCCTTCCAGTTCAAATTGCCGAGGATGGGCTGCTCGAAGATTATTTGAGTTTGCCCTCTAAGTATCGACAATCTGTCGAATGGCGATCATAGAAAATAAATAAACCATATGGGTATATGACGCATGTCTTAAGCTCCTAGACAATGTATACTGATGGGTGGTATATACAAACGTATATTCGCATTTTGAACTACAATACTGTTATATAAATTTATTGTTTGTCTCCTAATTACTGAACCTTTTTTTTATTATTAAAGGAAACGGATGTTGGTACGAATAACGATTGTCTGTTTAAAGTTGGTGATGTATTTAGTTCTTTTAATGAATTTAAATATAAAATAAATGATTATTCAATAAATACTGGAGGAATGTTTTCTATCGGTCATTCAACAAAATTGAAACAGACATCTGGATTAGTTTATGGAAAACTTTTATATGTCTGTTGTGATGGCGGCAAACAGCGTTGTCGCAGTAAAGGTATTAGACCACAGCAGTATTATATGTCATTAAATTGTCCGGCTAAAATTCGTTTTTTCAACACCGGCACACAACTGAAAATCAGCATTCTAAATTTCCATCACAATCATAAATTAGATACATCAAATCTGAAATACTATCCTAGAAATCGTCGTTTAGAGAATGAAACCGTAGAATTGATCAAAAAATTTGATAACCATAAAGTTCCGCGAGCTATAATACGTGATATAGTTATGAGTGAAAATAAAACAAAATTTACCACAGTAGAGGATATCGCAAATGTATTAAACAAAGTAACAACAAATAATATTCCATCTCAGTCTATAGCAGTACAAAAGATTCTCAATGAAATTAAAGTTTAGAACCAACGGCTACAATTGACATCAATATAGGAGAAAATGATCAGCTGGATATGATTTTCATTGCAACATCAAAAATGAAAGAAAATTTTAAAAAACTTCACCATGTTATATTTTTTGATGCAACATACAAAATCAACACAGAAAGTTTTTGCTTATATGTATTTTTGGTAGAAGATGGTCATGAGATATGTGAGTGTCCAAGTGCTTCTAGATTGTGAGTCAGTCAATACCCTAGTGAGAAACTTACTCGAATCTTATGAAGGTCTTCGTAAGATTTCGCTTACATTTCTCTAAGATCTTAGACAAATTTTACTAAGATCGTGAGAACCGAAAATTCTAAGATTTGATAAGATTCTTCTGAGATGTGTAGAATTTTTCTTTGCAAGCGATTTTTCTAATCTAAGCGAAAACGTACTAAGATCTTATAAGATCTTACTTTGATAATTTTAAGAAGTGTCTAAGATTTTACTAGAGTAAGATGGACTTTTCAAAGATTGGCGAAATACCGAGAATAATAGGTTGCACAACTCAGATAACCATAATCTTCGATTAAAGTTACATAAAGCCGAAATATCATACTCGCACAGTGTTTCTTGAAAAGACTTTAACGTAAAAGTTTAGTACATATGATTGTCTTTTCTAAGGTCAACCGGTTGGTATAGGATTATTAGCACATGAAGCTCAAGAAAATATACGTCAGTTACTTTTAAAATTCCAGTCTACATATACAAATTACGAACTTCTTAAAACGTTCATGATTGATAAAGATTTTAATGAAATGGCTATGATACGTGAATTATTTCCATCTTCTACAGTATTATTATGTTATTTTCATATTATTAAAAAACTGAAAGAAAATATTGCTAAACTGTCCATTGATATTGAAAGAAAGAAAAAAATATTAGATTTATCATAACAAGTAATATACAGTCCTGATGAAACCAAATTCAATGAAAATGTTAATAGTTTAGAGACAGTATCATTGAACAACGATTACTGGAATTATTTTCAACAAAATTGGCTGAATTGTATTGATTTATGGACGCTGTATAAACGAAAAGATGCCATTACGTTACTAAATAACACAAGCAACAGAATTGAATCATTTTATCGCGTAGTAAAGAAAGAATTTAGGAGGCGATTAAAAATACCACATCTTAGTGAGGCACTAACAATATTAATGGCACTTCTAAATTTAAAATCTGATGTACAACAATATAATTTTATACGTCAAGTAGTATCATTTCTGGCTTATAATGATTTGCTGAGCCGATATGATTCATTAGAATCGGTTTTCGTTTTAAATTTCTGAAACAGCACATCATTTTTGACTATAAATTACATTTTGAAGCTAAGGTTTACATGTTGGGTTGATTGAGCCGTCAGTATTTAAGTTAGGTTTTTAGTGACACTAAATGAAGTAAAATTTTTCGGTCCTGATATAGTCTTTTTAAACTTAAGACTTGATATTCGGATCCAGTATCAACTTCTGTATCGAATGGTACTTGCTTTAAGTAAAAGTGAGACAAAAACTTTCCAGTTTCGCCAAAGAAATGCAAGCTGTGTTCATCAGAATTCGACGCTGATTATATAAGGGATTACTTTTACGATACAATGAGGGACGTTTTTAACTGTTCCGGCTTTCCTCGTTTAATCAAGCGTTTCTATGCAGAAAACTTGCAAGAACTCTATGAGAGGTTCACATTCGGAATAAAAAAATTTGTTCTTTGTTCATTTTTATTTATAGACTGAAAAAACCAGCAGAAACACAAACAGCAATGGTCACAAGTCCTACAACAACTGAGGTTAATACAACATTTCTACAGAATTTGGCACCATTATTTACAATAAATCGTGTTGTTCATCCTCGTGACCAAAATAAAGCAGAAAACATACACAGTTTTACAAAACACATATTGGAGATGGTGGCAAAACAACAATAGTTAGAACCAAATTAAAACGTCTTCAACAACGTCCACCATCAACTAAAGCAGCCAAAATTTTAATGAAAGACGATGGTGAGTTAGGAGGACATTTAGTAACACCACTACTACCACCAACAACAGAACCAACAACACTCACTGGAGTAGTAATAGTGAAAACTACAGCAGCAGGAGAAGCAGGAACATTATCTGGTCCACAAAAGTTATTATCAACAGGAAATGCCACTATAACTGCTTCTCAAGATTCTGTTACCAGCAATTCAAGCAACAAAGTCAGCAGGCCTTTAGCAGAAGCAGCAGTAGCTACAATAACCTCGCTGGCTCCACCACCATCACTGATACTATCGTTTGTCTCAGCTTCAGCACAAGAGCCAGGTGCTAATGATTCAAATTCAAGAACTACTAAAATACTAAAAGATGAAAACGATCAAGATAAGGAAAATTTGCGTATCATAACAGACACAGTAATTGAGTAACAATGCCATTTAATCCACCATCCAAAGAATGGATAATGCAAAAGTCAATAGAACTGCAATTACCTCGTACAAGAAGCAATGCAGCAGCTCTAACAATCCCTTCATTTGGTATAGTACGTCGAATGAATATTAATACCAAACCAAGTTTGATTAAAATTATAAAACCAGACGAAAATTGTTTTTTAGGTAGGTTTTACTTTAGCTATTTCGGCAGCGTGCGCAGCTAGTTGAAACTAACGGCTGGACCATAAAGAATTACACTACTTTATTTTCGCTATAAGTCAGTCAGTTTTGACACTATCGGCCAAATTTTTTTTCAAAAGATTCGCCATTCAATACTCTACAAAATCATACATAAACTATAATTTCAGAACTTCAATCAAGAAAACTAAGCCAATTAGATGAAAGTCGAAAAAAATGTAAACGTTCAAAACTCGAAAATTTTTTCTTTTGTTAAAGTTTTGAAAGTAAGAAAAACTGAATTAGCCATTTTGTAGCCGTGACTTCGCTCTATCTTTTAGCTACGCTTCAGATTTTTTCACATCAAAAGCCACAGCGAAATAGTAGTTTTTCTATCGGTTGTCATGCATTTTTTCATTAATTTTTTAAATTTTTGGTATAGTAGTGCTTTCAGTAAAAGCCCAATAACTCCATCAAAATAAAAGCTTTTTCGGTCGGGTTTGCTTTGTTTTGATCAGAAATGATTGCTC